GGAAACAAGAGTGAAACTCCATCTCAAAAAACTAACAAACAACAACAACAACAACAACAACAACAAAAACAACTGCAATAGCTAGGTTATATGGCAAGTGCATGTTTGACTTTATAAGAAATTGCCAAGCTATTTTCCTGAGTGGCTATACTGTTTTACATACTCCCCAGCAATGTATGAGTTTGAGTGCCTTAAAGCCTCCTCAACACTTGGTATTTTCAAGATTTTTTTTTTTTTGAAACAGATTCTTGCTCTGTCACCCAGGCTGGAGGACAGTGGCACCATCTTGGCTCACCGCAACCTCCGCCTCCTGGGTTCAGGCAATTCTCCTGCCTCAGCCTCCTGAGTAGCTGGGATTACAGGTACGTGCCACCATGCCCAGCTAATTTTTTGTATTTTTAGTAGAGACAGGGTTTCACCATATTGACCAGGATGGTCTCGATCTCTTGACCTCGTGATCCACCCGCCTCGGCCTCCCAAAATGCTGGGATTACAGGCGTGAGCCACCGCGCCCGGCTCATATATTTTCAATATTAGTCCTCTGTCAGACACTGCAAATATTTCTTCTCAGTCTATGGCTGGCTTTTTCATTTTCTTATTTGTGTTTTTTGAAGAACAGAAACATTTAATTTTGAAGTCTAATTTGTCATTTTTTTTCTCTAATGATCCATGTTTTGATGTCTTTTTGTTTTTCGTGGGGATAGAATCTTACTCTGTCACCCAGGCTGGAGTGCAGTGGAGTGGTGCAATCACTGCTTACTGCAGTCTTGACTTCCTGGGCTCAAGCCATCGTCCCGTCTCAACCTCCCAAGTAGCTGGAACTACAGGCGCATACCACCATGCCTGGCTAATTGTTATATTTTTTGTAAAGACATTGGCCAGGCTGGTCTAGAACTTCTGGGCTCAAGTGATCCAGATCAAATAACCCACTGTGGCCTCCCAAAGTGTTGAAATTACAGGCATGAGCCACTGCTCCTGGCTGGTTTTGGCATCTTAATATCTTAAAAAATCTTTACCTACCCCAAGATTGCAAAGATTTTCTCTACTTTTGTTCTCTAGAAGTTTTACAGTTTTAACGTTCTGATTTAGGTCTGTCATCCATTTCAAGTTCATTTGAATGTATGGTATGAGGTAAAAATTACCTCATTTTTATCCTAATGTATTTCCAGTTGTTAAAAGAACATTTGTTTAAAAGTCTGTTCTTTCCCCATTAAATTGCTTTGGCACCTTTAAAAAAGTTCAATAGATCAATAGATCAATTTTGCAACTATTTTTAGTGTATAAAAATGCAACTGATTTTTGAGTGTTGATTTTTCTGCAACTTCAGTAAATTTGTTTATTAGTTCTAACTTTTTTTTTCCTTAGATTTTTTTTTTTTTTTTTTTTTTGAGACAGGGTCTCACTCAGTTGCCCAGGCTGTAGTACAGTGGCAAGATCATGGCTCACTGCAGTCTTGACCTCCCAGGCTCAATTGATCCTCCCACCTCAGCCTCCCAAGTAGTTGAGACTGCAGGCACATGCCACCAGGTTCAGCTAATTTTTTTTAAAAAAAACAACAACATAGAAATAAGGTCTTTCTATATTTCCCAGGCTGGTCTCAAACTCCTGGGCTCAAGTAATCCTCCCACCTTTACCTCCTAAAGTGCTGAGATTACAGGTGTGAGCCACTGCACCTGAACTTTTTAGAAATTTTAGGGCTTTCTACATAAGTTATCAGCAGACAGGGATAATGTTATTATTTTCCAATTTCTATGTCTTTTATTTTTTAAAAATTAATTACATTTATTTTAATTAATAAATAAAAATTGTACATATTTATCATGTACAGCATGATTTTTTGAATTATGTATACATTGCAAAATAGGTAAATCAAGCTAATTCACATGTATTACCTCACATACTTATCTTTTTTGTGGCGAGAACACCTAAAGTCTACTCTTTTAGCAATTTTCAAGAATAAAATACACTGTTATCACTTATAGTCATCATGTTGTACAGCAGATCTCTTGAACTTATTCCTCCTGCCTAACTGGTCAACATCCCAAACCTCCACTGCTTTATTTCTTTTTCTTGTCTGATTGCTCTGGCTAGAAGTTCCAGTACTATGTTAAATAGTAGCAATGACAGTGGGCATCTTTGCCTTATTCCTGGTCTTAGATGAGCATGTGATTTTAATTGAGCATATTAATCACTTGGAAGGCATTTACAAAATTTTGCTAGATTTTCCTCTTGAGATTTGCTTTTTAGCAAGTGGTTATATTGTAGATAATCCCCTCAAATTAAAGGTTATGTGGAAGCTCCGTTGCGCAGTTAATTAATTTTTGAAATATGTAAGTTTCCTTTATACTTGCATTGAGGTCGACAACATGCTATTGGAACTGTAGTTTGAACTTGAATAATATATCTAGTGCAAAATTGTGTCAGGATGAAGATCTCACTTCTTATTTTAGCTTTTGTTAGTACTAGAAGTAGATAAAGCAGATTGACATTACTTATGATTCAAACATTTGTTATGGTCAAAATGATTGTGTTAGTCTATTTGTGCTGCCATAACAAAATGTCGTAAACTGGGTAATGTAGAAAGAAGAGAAATCTGGCTGGGTGCAGTGTCCCACATCTGTAATCCTAGCACTTTGGGAGGCCAAAGCAGGTGCATCACCTGAGGTCAGGAGTTTGAGACCAGCTTGGCCAACATGGTGAAACCCTGTCTCTACTAAAAATACAAAAATAGCCAGGTGTAGTGGTGGGTGCCTGTAATCCCAGCTACTAGGTGGCTGAGGCAGGAGAATTGCCTGAACTTGGGAGACGGAGGTTGCAGTGAGCCTAGATCGTGCCACTGCACTCTAGCCTGGGCAACAGAGTGAAACTCTGTTCCCTCACACACCTACCCCTGAGAAATTTATTGCTTACGCTTCTGAAGGCTACAAAGTCCAAAATTAAGGAACCAACATTTGGTGTCTGGTGAGGGTTGCTGTCTGCTTCCAAGATGGTGCCTTGTTGCTGTGCTCTCACCTGGTGGAAGGTGGAAGGGCAAAAAAGGGACTGAGCTGATTCCCTCAGCCCTTTTATAAGGCAATAATCTATTTATGATGGCGGAGCCCTTGTGACTTAATCACTTTCCCAAGGACCCCATCTCTTAATACCATTATGATAGGGATAGCATTTCAACATGAATTTGGGAGGGGACACAAATGTTCAAACAGTAAAAGCCCACCCCGGGGCCCTTTAAATTTGTGTTTTTCTAATATTCAAAATACATTCATTCCAGCCTAATGGCCCCGAAAGTCTTAACTCATTCTAGCATCAACTTTAAAATTTAAGTTCAAAGTCTTATCTAAATATCATCTAAATCAGATATGCATAAGACTCAGGGTGAAACTCAAAATGTGATTCATTTACAGGAAAATTTATCTCTAATGGTAGCTTGTGAAATAAAACAAATTATATCCTTCGAAAATAGAATAATGGGAAAGGCATAGGATAGACATTTCCATTCCTAAAAGGGAGAAAAAGGAAAGAAGCAAGGGGTATTAAATCCCAAGTGAGTCCAGAAACCAATGAGGCAAACAACATTTCTTCTTGAGGCTCGAGAATAATCTTTGACTCCACATTTTGGCTTCCAGACACAGACACACTGGAGTAGAGATTGGGTCCCCAGTCCCCCAGGAGACGCCACTACCATACCTTTTCTGGATGAAGCCCACACTGCAGCCCTCAGGAGTTGGAGTTGGTTGCTTGTGGTTCTCCCAGGCTGGCATTGCATGCTGGTGGCTCTATAGGTTTGGAGTCTTTAAGGGTGGCTCTGTTGCATGGGCTCACTAAGCAATGCCATAGTGAGGGCTCTCTGCAGTGGTCTTGACCTTGTGACTCTGCTGGGCATTGCTGTAGTGGGGACTTTCTGCCACAACCCTGCCTTGTCGAAGTTCAGAGCTTTAAGACTCTGAGGTTGTGAGGCATCCTTTGAAATTCAGTTGAAGGCAACCATGCTTCCACTGTTCTTGCATTCTGCATGCCTGCAGAGTTAGCATCACATGGATGCCACTAAGGTTTACATACTGTGCCTTCTGGATTGTTGACCTGAGCTGTATCTGGGCCCCCAAAGCCCCAGCTAGGGTGGCTGAGGAGTACTGCATCAGAATTCAGGGAGCAGAAGCTTGGGGTGGCCCTGGGCAGTGAATCCCAAGGTCCCATGGCTGCCCTGGGATCCTCCTTTGAAACTGTTCTTTCCTCAAGGTCCTAGCACTCTGGACCTGTGATAAGAGTGTCAGCCTCAAAGATCTCTGCAGTGCCTTTGGGGTCACTCTCTCATTGTCTTGATGACTGGCATCTGGTTTCCTTCTGTTCATGCTAATGTCCTTAGCAATATTTTGTTTGGTCACACCTTGATGTTCTTGCTCAAACACACTTTTTCATTTTTAATAACATGGCTAGGCTGAGCATTTTTCTTATCTTTAACCAGGCTTGAGTGCAGTGGCACAATCCTGGTTCAGCTACAGCCTTGACCTCCTTGTCTTGAGTAATCCTCCAACAGCAGTCTCCCAAGTAGCCAGGACTACAGGTATGTACCACCATGCCCGGCTAATTTTGTTTATTTTCTGCAGAGATGAGGTCTTATTATATTGCCTAAACTGATCTCAAACTCCTGGTCTTGACTGATCCCTCTGCCTTAGCCTCAAAATGCTGGGATTATAGACACGAGCCATTGCACCTAGCCCTATGTTCCTCTTTTGACATAAATTCTGTGTTTAATTCATTTTTCTCTTTCTTTATTTTATTTTATTTTTTTAATTAGAAAAAGTATTTATTTCTGCTCCTTTCATACATCTTATTGTTCAGGAAACAGTCTTACATGTATATCTGAAGTAATCTACCATCACACACTCCAGTTAAAGGCAAAGCACCATAGGTAAAGCTAATCAGCTGTCCAGAGTTCTCAGCTTATGGAATCTTGCTTCTTGATTTTATGCTAATTTCTGAAAATCAGGATGTCATTTCCAAAAAATGTTAAGGGGGTTATAAAAAATAATCACTTTACTTGGTATTATAGTTGTAGATATGGAGTATATTTTCTTTAAGAAATGAAAAACTAAGAATAAAATGCCACTCAGCATCATTGGTATAGCAGTAGTTCAGCAGGAAAAAAAATACTGTGGTCAACTTGTCTCTTTAAACCAAGAAAGAAATTCTAGTCCAAGTTTCAATATACTTCCTGCTTTTTCACTAGATATTTCTTTTACTGCTGCTCTTCATTCTTTTCACATTTCACATTAGAGGGTTGGTACAGCCTTTAAACTTCCTTGACAGGAGCAAAGCCAGTATCCACTGATTTCTTCTCAAAGGCACTCTAACCCATCAGATAGCCTGGCAGTTTCATTCTCATGAATACTCTAGCCATGAAAAAACTCAATAGAACACAGATGAATCCAATGAATAGAAGAAGAAATCTATTGAGTTTGGGGATATTTGGTGCATTTTAGGTCCAGGATTATGAAACCTAAACCTCCCATTGTAAACAGGAAGCTGGATGCAAGTCCTTCCATAATATATTGTCCATTTACTCTGTAGGCCAAGAAAGCTACTGGCCTCTGATACCCATGCTCATCAGTCATAGAGCCAACACTTGGTGGTTCAACAATAACATCATAAATTATTCCTCCGGTGATGAGGAAGTAAGACACCACCACCAGAGCATACACAGCCATGGCCGACGGCATGTGCAGCCAGGGCGGCTTCTTCAGCTTCAGGTTGGGACATTCCAGCACTAAGAACGGGACACGGTACAAAGTCTCCATGTTGGTGGCAGCCCTCTTTCTTAATTTTATTATAAACAGTCAAGAGAAGCTATGCAGCACCCCAGAACACTTTGGTTAGAGATTTCTTCTATTGAATATCCTAGTTTATCGCTCTTAAGTTCTGATTTTCACAAATATGGACACTAACATAATTCAGCCAAGTTCTTTTCTAGTTTGCAACAAAGATGGCCTTTCCTCCAGTTTCCAATAAGATATTCCTTATTTTCATGTAAGGTCTCATTAGAATGGGCTTTACTGTTCATATCTCTACCAGCATTCTGATTACAACCACTTAGATAATCTCTAAGAAGACTGAGGCTCTCTCTCTATAGCTTTCCTCTTCTTCTGAGCCCTAACCAGAATTGCCTTTAATGTGCTGTTCATGGCTGTTTCTAGTATGCGGTTCAAAATTAATCCAGTCTCTACCAGTTACCCAGATCCAAAACTGCTTCCATATTTTTAGTAAGGTTTTGTTTCCAAAAAAAGAGAAAAGAAATAAGGTAGTCTTCTAATCCATTAATATGAAGCATATTTACATGTGTTTAGACCTTCACTAATTTCTTTAACCAGTGTTTTCTAGTTTTCAGAGTACAAATCTTACGTTTCTATGGTAAACTCATATCTGAGTATTTTATTCTTCCTGATGTTATTGTCAATTAGATTGTTTTCTTAATTGCCTTTCAGGTTGTTCATTGCTAGTGTATCCAAATAGAACATTTTTGTATGTTGATCTCATATACGCAATTTTGCTGAATTTATTACTTATAATACTGTTTTAAAATAATTTTTAGGATTTTCAATATATAAAATCATTTCATCTGCAAATAGAGATCATTTACTTCTTCCTTTCCAGTCTAGATGCCTTTTATTTATTTTTTCTCACCTAATTGCACAGGCTATAATTTCCAGTATAGTGTTGAATAGAAGTGGCAAAAGTGGGCATCTTTGTCTTGTTCCTAATACTAGGGGACAACTTTCAGTTTTTCACTATTATTATTCATTTTTGAGTGAAATCTTCCTAAGTTCTATGAGCTTTTCTATGAAATTAATGAACCTTGGAGGAGGTCATGGGAACTCCTGATTTGTAGCTAGCAGTCAGAAATACAGATGGAATGTGGAACTTGCAAGTGGTGTCTGATGTGGAAGAAGTCTTGTGGGACTGAGCCCTTTAACCTGTGAGATCTGATGCTAACCCAATGGGTGTCTGCAGAGAATTAAAGAATTGCTTGGTGTAGAAAAACCATATGCATACTTATCCACATTTGGTATGGAGATAAATAGTTTTTTCTTACAAGTCCATACCTGCTTTCCCTTTGTCTCCTGTTGCAAAGATTGACAACTCTCTCTTGCTGTCCTGGAGATGGAAGGCAAATAATGGGTCCATTGTTCCACAGGTTCCCCCTTTTTCAAAGTATTTCAGTGTACTTAGAGCAGTTGGGACTTATGCAGTTGAATGATTAATGGACAAGTGTTTTAAAATCTAGTGTCTTTAGCCTAGTATTACAGAGATTTTCATTTATGTAAGATAAATTAATCCTTCAATCATATGAAGAATAATGCCCCATATGAAGAATAATTCCATTAAGATCTTAAAGCACTTCATTGAAAATTAACATGTTATCAATAAACAGAGGTTCCTAACTTTTACAGAATGGGAAATGACCATGGTCTAGTATAGTTACACTTTAGCAGAGGTCTAGGTACTCAAGGAACAGTTCTTGATCTCTGAAGAATTAGAAAAAACATGTAAAAAGTTTACAGAAATTCTCAAGTTTGCCCTATTAGACTGACTTTTTAAAAACAGCAATCTAATGCTGGTCAGAAGGTCACCATTTCTCTCTTCAGAGCCTTACTTTTCTTTTGTGCCTGTGTGCATGTGTGTGTATGTGTGTAAGTATTTTTGGTAGAGATGGGATCATACTACATTCCCCAGGCTGGTTCCAAACTTGTGGACTCAAGCTATCCTCCAGCCTTGGTCTCCCAAACTTCTGAGATTATAGGCATGAGCCACCACACCCTAGAGCCTCGGTTTTAGCCCACATAGCTAAAGCTGGAAATGTATTGATGACTAAATATGATAGGCCATGCCAGAAATTAATATGGAAATATGCTTAAAATATGGTCCCTATGAAGAGAGAAAAACATTCTAGGAGAAGAGAGCAGTGCAGCCAAGTATTCTATGTGGACCATGCTCAGGAATTTTGGGAATTGGGATATTACTGATCTTTGCAAGTATAATTTTAGGGCACTGGTGGGACCTTGAGTAATTCTATGGAGGGATAAATGTGAGGGAGGATGTAGATTAAAAGTGTTTGAAAAATCTGGATTAAATATTAAGAGAGAGAGAGGGTGCAGATGGGTAGGGCACAGGACTTTTTTTTTTTTTTTAATTTTTTTGAGATGGAATCTTGCCCTGTCAACCAGGCTGGAGTGCAATGACACAATCTTGGCTCACTGCAACCTCAGCCTCCTGGATTCAAGTGATTGTCCCTGCCTCAGCCTCCCAAGTAGCTGGGATCACAGGTACCTGCCACCATGCCTGGCTAATTTTTGTATTTTTAGTAGACACGGGGTTTTGCCATGTTGCCCAGGCTGGTCTCAAATTCCTGACCTCATGTGATTCACCTGCCTTGGCCTCCCAAAGTGCTGGGATTACAGGCATGAGCCACCATGCCCAGCCCAGGGATATTTCTGAGATAAGGGAACTTGTTTACAAGCTGAAGAGATAAATTGGTGATCAAGGAAAGTTGACAATTTGAGAGTAAGGGAACAACTGATGGAACAACAATTGTATTAAATCTTGGAGAGGTTGCAAAAATACACTAGTGCCTAAATTTAGGAAATTATCTTTATTGAGGAAGGACACTTCTTCCTCCAAGACTCAGGAGAAGTTCAGGTATGATCATATGACAAGAAAGCTGTGAAATAACTGTATCTTTTGAGGGTGAGGACTCTCATACTCCCTTTTCTTTGTTTATTTTCTTCCTCTATTCCAGTTTTTATCTTGTCCACTGTTCATTTAATTTTTCTTGCAGAGTGTACTGGTAACTGAAGACAACCCAGGAAATATTTTTTTTTTCCTTCTGCCTAGAAGTCTAACAATTTTAGAATGTCTACAACGTGTCATTTTCTCTATTTTTCCAGGAGAGCTTTCATAAAGGGGAAAGAGGGAGTAGATCGATTTCACTGGCACCTCACTTTTCTCATTGAGGGTGGAGGGGATGATGTTGTGTGCTGGCAGTAAGGATAGGGACTTGGTGATTGGAGAAGATTTGGAATAAGTGATGAGGAGGATGGGAAAGAAAATTGGCCAAAGCCAGGTAAAAGGACTGAGGAATAGCCCTAGAGGGTTGGGGTCTAACTTGGAGTTTCACAAACCCGCCCCATTGTGCAGCTTTCTTTAGCAAGTTGGATATAAAGTCTATGTTGCTGGCATTCTAGTGGTTTAATGAGTAACATGCTCAAAGTAAAAAAATAATTATAATAATAAGGCAAAGGAAGGCAAAAATACTACCTTCATTATAGATAAAACTGATAATTGGAGATGTGGCTTATATAATCAAGTGGACTTTCAAATACTGATCTCTAGAATTAGACTCACCTATCAGCCATGGGCATCGCTGGGGCACCTCAGGGCCCCCACTCCCCACTGGAGGTGGCCCCTGTAACAGGGAGGGTGTGGGGAGTAGGGGCCACGTACATCCAAGAGAAAGATGCCCCCAGATCATGAGAGTCTTTTCCCCAGGACCATAAAGATAGAATTGTGCAGTCACTGATCCTTCGTTCACAATACTTAAAGAAACGCCTCCTGTCCTGTTTTAGAAGTACCTGGTATTAAGTGCTCTATTCTATTAAAACACAGAGAAAATTAAAGTGTATCCTTTTAAACCGATACATATGCCCCATGAAGGATGCCTTTGAAAATATGAATGACGGCCGGGCGCGGTGGCTCAAGCCTGTAATCCCAGCACTTTGGGAGGCCGAGGCGGGTGGATCACGAGGTCAAGAGATCGAGACCATCCTGGTCAACATGGTGAAACCCCGTCTCTACTAAAAATACAAAAAATTAGCTGGGCATGGTGGCACGTGCCTGTAATCTCAGCTACTCAGGAGCCTGAGGCAGGAGAATTGCCTGAACCCAGGAGGCGGAGGTTGTGGTGAGCCGAGATCGCGCCATTGCACTCCAACCTGGGTAACAAGAGCGAAACTCCGTCTCAAAAAAAAAAAAAAAAAAAAAGAAAAGAAAAGAAAATATGAATGACAAATAGTTCCAGGCACCTGTTTTTTTGACCAAGGCTAAGCTGATCACAGATGCCTCTTTGGGCTCCAAGGTGACTCACCGCTCAATTCTGCCATGAAACTACCCTTACAGGCTTTCTAGCATTGGAGGCTACCCAGCAATGAATCAATGAGCTGAGATGCCTTATTGTCATCAGAAGTGTTCAAGCACCAGATGAACAACCCACTGTTTTAGATGTTACAGAGGAAATTCCTATGAGCACAAGACCTTTAGAACCATAACCACCAAGGAATTTTAAAATCCAAACCCCCTGTGGTTTAAAGGAACTGTAGTTTTTCTGAATCGAAGCATAAAGCTCATGTCATAACCTCTCCTCATGATGTATGCTGCTAATGCTTTCATGAACATTCCATGAAGCAAAATGATAGAAAGTCTGTGTATGGATTTACTGGTTAATCTAGCATATACAATCTAGTTACTGTGAGCAGTCAGATGGAGAAAAATGATTATGATGAAAAGACCCCAGGGAAAGGATTTTTCTGCTTGCATAGATGAATGTCAAAATTAAATTACTTCCACTGGGAAAAGCATATCAGATTCAAGAAGGAAGGAACCATACAATAAGAAACGGAGACTAGCCCCAGCATAATGTTTCTTCAATTTTTTAAAAACTAGAATCCAAAATACACTTAACAACATGATGCCACACACACACACACACACACACACACACACACACACACACACTTCTAACTATAACAAAAATTT